TTTTTTTTTTTTTTTTTTTTTTTTTTTTTTTTTAGGGAAACAAACTCTCATTCGAATGCCGGTTAACAGAGCTGCTGGAAAAGTGATAGCTATTCAAAGACCCGGGGCTCAACCGGTAATGAAGCTTTTGCGAAGTGGGCATCGATCACCTTCAGGTGGCTATGTGCAAACTTCGACGGGACAAGTGTTGCGAGTTGTTCCATCCTCGAAAATAGCTCAGGCAACTGTAAGTTTAGTCTGCCTACTTCAGTTAGTATAAGTTTAGCTTTCCCTTTATTTTTCATTGGGTAAACACTTAAACACGTATAGTTCTAGTTAGTATAAATTTGTTCACAGGTAAATGCAGCCAAAACGACGGGAACGAAAACGATCATTGTCACAAAAACCAGTCCAGGTGGTAATGCCACCGCTCACAAATTGGTGTTTGTGCCTCCTCCGAATTCAGGTGTACTTGCTTCGGGACACACTGCTGGGCCTCTTCCCGTGGTTAATACAAGCCAAGCTACTCATGAGCAGGGAACTTCTTTGCAGGCCAACACTTCAGAACATCCTACGATATCTACACAAGGCACTACGTACACAACCCCCGTAGCCTCGAACATTGATGTAATCTCCTGAAAAGGATTTAGTTTTTATTTAGGTTTTATGATCTTTTTAGAAATAATCGTTTTATCTGTTTAGTCAGGGCTTCCGCAGAATTTATTAGATGAGGCTCCGCCAGAAACGGAAGGTCAATCTTGTTTGGCGAATGATAATATTTCTGCACCGTCGACTGGCAACCGTCTAGCTAAGGACACTTTGACACATCCAGCTCAACCCGCAGTAGATGGCGATATGCAAGAACGGAGCGTTTTGTCTTATTCTGGGAATGTTCCTGAGGTAAAAACATCTTTTAAATAGCCTGTTTTTTCTTTGAGTGAGTATTAGAAAAACAAATTTATTATTAATTAAGGCATCCGATGGAATGAATGAAGGAAATAAAGCTAGCAAGTCGTCAGTAGGAGAGGGGGAGGGAGATATTACTAACAGCGCCTTTACTGCGACTAATAAGAAGAGAGATGTGAACCAAAATAAGTCTGATTCCGCAAGCCCTGCAGAAGAGGCTGCTCAAAATGTAGCTGGTGGGTAATATTTTTTGATGGATATTGTACGCTACTGATTGAGCATATTATGAATTATGAAATTATTTCAGCATCTTCACCTTCTGGTGCGACAGATGCAAAAGCAACGGCACAAACGTCAATTGCTGAAGGCTCGAGTGCTCTGAACGAAGATGTTGGAAGTTCCGATCTTCATTCAGAGGACGCAAGAGAGGGATATTTGTCTGTACAAAATACGCCAGCCGTTAGTAATTCAGACCAACAGCAACAGGCATCTGGTTCCACCATAGTTTGTTTTTACCACTCGCATTTTCAATTTCTGTCATATTAGTTACGGAAGAAATATTAAGACGATTGCCACCGAACAAGAATTCTTTTAGAAAACGGTTAAAGAGGAAACTGATCAGTTGTGGTTCGATGTTGGTATAATAAAGGGAACTAGCTGTACCGTAACACATTACTTTTTGCCTTCTGATATACCGTTTGAAGATTCTTATGGTGTAAGTTGTTAATTGATGTTTTCTAAAATTTTATTCTCAGATACCTAAGCAGTGATTTTGTCTCTCTGTTCCAGCATGAATATGAGTTAGGAAATCATGCAGTTCAGCCTGGGTCTCTTCGAAAAAAGGCTGAGTTAGAACCAGGAACTGCTTATAGATTTCGCGTAGCTGGCATTAATGCTTGTGGTCGTGGTGAGTGGTCAGAGGTACGTCATGTAAACAAGATTTCTTCATTTTCTTTTCTGTTTATTTACTTGACTACGTTCTAATTTTTATTTCTAAATTTACAAGATTTTATTGGCTTGATTTTAGATAACTGCTTTCAAAACTTGCTTACCGGGTTTCCCAGGCGCACCATCTAGTATTAAAATTACAAAAAGTGCGGATGGCGCCCATCTAACGTGGGAACCACCACAGAATGCCGCTGGTAAGAAATTGTTGCTCTGGAGTTTATTTGGCTATTTTTCATTTTTTGATGCAAGAGTGCTGATTACCCTATAGTTCTTTTTGAATGGGTATCAGTTCTGAAACGTTTAGGTCGAGTTTCCGAATATAGTGTGTATCTAGCAGTACGTACGGATAGGGTCAATATTAGTGAAGCTACACAGCTTGCTTTTGTGCGCGTTTATGTTGGGCCAGAGCCAGGCTGCCTTGTTCCCAATAGCCATTTAATGGGTGCACATATAGACACTAAATCAAAGCCAGCAATCATCTTTCGAATAGCTGCCAGAAATGAAAAGGTATTTTATTCTTAATATCCTTTTTCTTTTCTTCGTCACTCTTCTGTACTATGGAGTTGCCTGATATTTTTGTCGCCGAAAAAGCTGTTTGTAGTTTGTTATTTTTCATTTTCTTTTGCAGGGCTATGGTCCAGCAACCCAAGTAAGGTGGCTACAAGAGCAGCGTCAAATCCCTCAAGGAACCCCTCGTCCAGCTTATGCCGTAGTTGATTATCACCGCCCGTCTCTTACGCACCAAACACAAATTAAGCGTATGCGGATGGATTAGGGAAATGACGGTAATCCGAATTTGTGAAGGCATGTGTTTATTTACTGATTTCCTCATTTTTGAGTCATCTCAGGTTTGGTATTGATTTTATTTTACTATTTTTTTTCAGAAATCATCATTGATAGTTCTTTTTCAATGTTATTTTACGAAAGGTTGTTATTTGTCCTTTACCACTTTGATATGTACATTTCACTACTGTATTGCTGCTAACACTGATAGTTTCGTTGTAAACCTTCTTAATACATTTTTTTAAATACGCCGCAGATTGTGAACGAGGATGAGAAGCATTTTTTAGTTAAAATTCTAGGCAGTATAAAGAAATTGACCGAAATATAATATTGTGGCGCTTTTTACTTTACTTTTTTTGACTTTTTCTGTACTTTGGTAACTTCTGAAAATCAGAATTTTAGCTTGAGGTTTTAGCTTTTATTGCCAAAGCCAAATTTGTATTGTCTTGTCTAACAACAGTTTTGAATTCAGGTCAAAAGTTTAAGCGATAAAAATGTGGTTGATGAAGGGTTTCACTACTTTTTGTAGTTTAGTTGGTCATATTTGGGCAATCTAGTGCGTGACGCTATAATATGTTACTTACTTAATAAAAGTGAGAAGTTATTGTTTCCCGTAACATTTCTGTCGCGATGTTTTGTTGTCATATTTGCTACTAAATTGCCATTATTTCTAGGTTTCGTATTTTGAAGCTTGGTTAATTTTGTTTATTATTTAGTCATATAAGTTAATTTGTCTGGAAGTGGCGTTCTTTTCCTTGCTTTTTATTTAGTAGCCGGATTGCATGCTGGAGAAGATGGTATTGGTTGTGACATGACCTGATGAACCATCTGCTTCTCGCGGTTCTTTGTTTGGGGCGGGGTTTATACTGCTTGGAGTATAGAACTACTTTTTCTTCATTTTTATTATTGCTCTTTTTGCGTGCTACTCTTCTGTAGCCTGATGAGAGCTTCAGTCGGATTTCGCTAGTGAAATTTTTGATGGGCTAGAGTTTACGTGGTTTGTGGTTTTTCTTTTTTATAGCAGGTTGAAGCTTATAAATATCTGCGGATTGACTGGAAATTAAAAATAGTTTGTGGTTGCTTCTTACTGAATGTTGTTTTAATCTAAACGCGAGCTGATTTTGTAGTAGCAAAATGTTGTGTTTTTACTTTAATATGTTTGGTTGCTAAAAATTTTTTGTTTTTGTCAAAGTGACTTGAACTGTAATGTCATTTTGTGCTCATTTTATGTACAACAGTTGCCAATTAAATTACCTGGTTGTTTAAAATGCATGAGGAACCTTTACTACTTGTTTCACATCCAAGTAAAGTACGGAAGGAGCCTACTCCAGTCATGACGGGTCCAAGCATTACGCGAGACAGTTGAGTTTGTTACATTGCCTCAACAGCGCAGAAATCAAAGCAAGTTGATACAGGTGAGTTGGAAGCACTGAGTTCGTTTACAACTGTTAGGAGTTTCAGAAGAAAAAGTTCCTCAACTGTAGTAAGGTAAATGGTTTAAGAAGCTTGGGTTAATTAGAGAGCAGAAAGACTTGCCGTATAACTTGCGTTAGTTTGGATTATTGGCTTAAAACAAGCCGTCGTTACTAAGGAGACATTTAAACTCATTGCGCGGCCGTTGAGTCAGAGGTTTACCTAAATGATGGAATTACACAAACCTACATGTGGTAAAGTTGCTGCTATTTTTTTTTCGTAACGCACTTGTAATAAAGTACATATATGTTTATCATTTTTCTTGAGGCAGTCACTGCTAAGGAGTCCAGACAGGATACCCAAATGGTATCTCCTACAACTGTCCGCCATCAATCACCTGGTCGTAAAATCTAACTAGTTACATCAGTATAGTCATCGAGTGGTGCGGCAGTTCCGAAAACCCTTTTCTGATAAACCACATTTTCTTCACAGTATCATGCGCAGAACACTTTAAGTCCATGGTGCTAGCTTTCAATCTTAATCAAATAATTCACAATGAATTCCATTTTGCAAAAGCTTTTTTTACGAAAGATATTTTAAGTAAATTCTTTTCCACCGTCTGTTCATGTCCAAGCCTGTGTGTCTGTTATAAGTTCAGCAGCCAAATGAAATTGGCAATTTTCAGAGAAGCAGCCTAAGTGAGTAAGTTCAAAGAGCTCATAATATAAACCAGTGCAGCAATAATGACATAAACAACACCAACTTTAAACATCACAGGAAGATCTAGCAAATTAAAATACAATCAATTTGTTCAGTTCATTGAAAACCAGCAGATCACATTATGGAAACTAAAAAACCAAACGCGCAATCATGATCGTCCACAGCCCTCGCTCTGTGAAGACAAATCTATCCCGATAATTTTCCACTTCTGCTTTGACGCGATTTTTATCGTCAACCTCTAATCTCCTGTTCATGCATTTCACTTCCCATTCATACCATGTAACGTCGGCTCACATGCCTTGCGTGGAATTTCACTCTGCGATATTTCCTGATTCTTGCGGCTAATCTGCATAACTCGGTTTAGGAACAGTTTGATAGCAGCGTTGCATAAACTTATAAGGTTAATCAAAAAACTTTGACGGAATTTCTTTTTCTCTTTACTTGTTACCCAGTAAATGTTAATTTCTTCCTACTTGTCCGGAAGAATTTGTCGCTTTTTTCGGACGAGACCACTGAGGAATTCTCTGTATGCTGAAACTCACTTAAGCTAAATGCTCAGTTAAGGACGATTATCCCTTCTTCAACACTTTTGGTTTACGGTAATTAAGATTTTTCTGTCCCCACCCGTTATTCCTTTTATCCAACAACAACAACAACAACGCAACAATGTTTCTAAAAAAACATCATATTCAATTAATTCGTACTTTGTTTTTTTCCTTTACTTTGTGGGCTTCTGGATTTGGGAAATATGGACTCATTTCAAGGAATATATAGAAGCGATGCAGAAAATGTTTATTCTTTCAATAACACGGAAACGGAAGGATAGTAAAAAGATGAATGATAAAACAGCAGCAAAAATTTGTAATGCTGTTGCTTTCTAAAACTTCATGCCGAGATTTAGTCTCCACTTTGCCAAAAAGGAATGTCGTTTATTATTTGGTTCCCTAATCGCTCACTCCTCTCAATTGTTTACTGCAAATGCACTGCATTCCGGAAATGTATTGTGATCAGATGATAACTGCGTCCTTCGATTACGTCCAAACAGCCTCGCACTGATACAACTTATCGCTACTTACCAATATGCAAATTAGAATTCGTTGCCTAGGCCTCTTTTACAAAATCGGGAATATCTGGTTTTACTTATAAATGCAATTGTTTTCAGTTCTCATTGAATTCTTGGATATTTTTACATTTTCCTACCTTTATTTAAAATCTTTTCTTACAGGTTATATTGTACATTTGACTACTGGTCTCGTGCATAATCTTAATCATAGACAATTGCACCTTATCAACCCCCACCAAGATACTACTTGTTTCAATATTTCTTTAGGCATCCAACGTCAAACTCGTTCCTCTTTTGGTTGGCAAATTATAACACCAATTTTTGCTGCTTGGCATTTGACCGCAGACTGCCAGAAGTGACAAATTGAAGCATTTGCTTCTCCGTAATTCTTGTGATTTTGCTAAAGATATTTTTACAGCAGGTCAAAAATTCTTAACCAATTTTACCATCGCCATGTGAATAGCTATAATTTAATGGTTACTAATAAATTTGTTTTAGAAGTTTTTATATACAGCAAAAGAATATAATTACTTTCATTACCCACCGAAAGTAACATGCTCGCCATTATTTTGTGAACCTACACAAATTACTTTTACTCCAAAACATTCCAGTGTTTAAAAAGTCAGATAAATCACTGACCCTTTTGTAGTAGGGCCGCAGTATCTTGAAACTGGCTAAAGTCCTTGACTAAACCCATACATGTTGATTTATAACTGTGGAATCCGCTTGTAGGAAGGACTGCCGCTCTAGAACCACTCTGCTTTAGATAGACAGCACTGCAGGTCCTGAATTACTGGCGCAAATGATATACCCAATCGTACTATGCAAATATTCAGCACCAACATAAAGTAGACTTTTTGAGCACAAGGATTTCGAAAGTCATTTTAAGTTATCTAGTGTCACTCTGATTCTTGAGACTCACAAGGCGCAAAGGACACCTAGCGCCGGCAATCTTTTGCAGTAGTCTTCGGCCGGTCATTGAGGCTCTGCCGTTGCTCTTTTAGCAGTGCTTTGTTTAGGTTTGTGGAGAGGGCGTGCGTTATATGCCCGTCTTGCCATAGCCGTTCATTAGAGAACACAGAAACAAAAAAATACTGCTTCCTCCATCAGGAGGTGAGACTAAGTTTAATTTACAGTGCAGAACCGCTCACCTCTTATGGAAAAAACCAGCATTTATTCATTTCAACCTTAGGGGTTTCATCACGTAATGAAAACGCTACAAACACAGAGTCTCTTTGTTACTCCTTATTTTTGCTCTCCCTTCTACTGCCCTACAACTATTAAATAGCCATACTCTTTCTAGGTACGCCTATCTTACAGCCACCATACGACTGGGAGTAAGTCCGAATGTAATAGATTTCTGCAGAAGCTAAAGTCGGAGATCAGATCTGATTGCCAAAAGCAAGGAGCGATGTCTGTCGGTAGTCCATAGTCAGGTCAAAGCTTTTTTGCACTTTGCTGGCAGGCGCTTACAAGTATCTGGTTTTGTTTGTTTGTTTTTTTCTTTTTTTTGACATCTCCTCGTCCTCTAGCGAGAACCTGCTGTGAAGAATTGCAATTCTTTAGAAAAAAAAGAGGAAACTTAAAACGCGACTCGTCACCAGCAAAATTTTCATGTGCACTCACTATCTCTGGAAGTACTTTCTAATTTTGCCAGTTTAAGATTCACATGTACATTTCTGCAGGTAGTTGCTTCTGATGCAGTCTGATAAATTTTGTGAGGCAATTTTAGTGCTTTAGGCAGGTAAGCAGGCGACAATGGGTTTTTTAATTTACAATGTGACCCCGTAAACTCT